CGACAATTTTATATAAAAAATAGTAAAAAAAAAAATTGATATTTATTATGATAAAGTCGAGTTAAAAAAAATATATTTTTCAAATGTTATTGATAAAAACCGATATAAAAATAAAGTAAATGAATTCAATTTGATTTATAATAAAAAATGATCGAGTAAAATAATCAATATATCTATTTTAATCGATCAATTTTAATAAAAATTTTCTTCTTTTTTTTTATCGGTTTGATGATGATAAATGATTTATTGATTGTTTTTTATTTAAAAACTCTATCAGTATTTATCAATCGAATAGATAAGAGAATTGAATTAATTTAGTTATTATATAATTAATCGAAATAATCATAGATTATTTAATAGAAATTTTCTAAAGATGATTATTTAATTCTCATTTATTTTTTATCCTTTTTCGAATAATTATAAATCTTCAATAAATAATTGTCAATATGAATAGTTTTTTATTTAATTCATCATTCAATAATCTTATCGAATAGATTTCAACTGAAATAATCCGATAAAGTTAATTAAAAGAGGAATATTTTATCATAGATACTTTTTAAACTTGTCAACTTTAATAGATTGAAAAGAGTAGCGAAATTTATCCTTTTGACAAATAAAACAATCGGCTTGTCCAAAGGTAACGCTGTGATATTTTGACAAATTGCTTTGCAGTTATCTCGAAAGGCATAAGGGTTAATAAGGTCGTTCAAACGTCATTCGACGCAGCTTATCATACTCTATTCATGTTGCAAGAACGACCTAGTTTGACTGAACTCTCGCGTTTCTAGAAAGGTTTTTATCATCGCGTAACGCTGTGACAAAAAAGGAGCCTTTTTCTCTAGAGCTGCTTATGAAACTCTAATTTTTTGACAAATTATTTCTTTAAATGAAACGCTTATGGTGCCAGTTTTGTAGAGAATTGAATGAGCTTTCAAGCAGTAAAAAATATTTTTTCTAAACTATTTTTGCTGAGATAAAAAAATACAAAAAACAAACGTAACGCTGTGACATTTTTCGTAACTCTGTGACATGTTTTTTTGTCGACCAAATTTGAAGCACTTAACATGCTTTAAAATATTTAATGTTCACATATATTGATCACTGCCATACATATATCGTTCTGTAAAAATATCAAGTTGCTACATCGAAATGGGAGTTCAATAATTGTACAGTAAGTTAGAAACTGTACAAGAGGTTAGAAGTTACTCTGAGGAATGAGAATAAAAACTGAATAGGCTATTTTGTAGAGAATCAAATTCTGCATCGAATGGTATATTACTCGGCATTTTAGTTTTAAATTTCGTGGTTAGAAAATTGAAAATACGATTTTTGAAAACTTTAAAACCCGCTTTTCGATGCCAAAACCCAATTAGTTTTAAGAAAAATGTCCAAATTCATAATCAGTGTAAAAAACTGTACCATAAAAAATGCTTAGATGTGTCCAAATCGAAAAAAAAATTTTTTTAAGCTTGGCCAGCGAAGTAGCACGTTACGTGGACAAACCGCAATATAGAAATTATCTTTCGAATAAAATCATTGATAACGATTAATATATTGATTATTAATTCGATTTTACCGAGTTTTTATATATAAAAGGGTGATAAAACTATAAAATAATATTCGCTTTTTATTGTTACTCATTAGGAAAAGATTCGTTTGACAAACGAACCATAAAAACAAAATAAATAAAAAAATCGTTTAGACGAACAGACCAGATAAACTTTGACTATAATATACTCGAGAGAAAAGTTTTGTAACTGTTTATAGTCATCTTTCAGAGTTGGAAGAATATTCTTCCTTATTTATAATTGATAGAATAGAAAGATAAATTGAAAAACTCGATCAGAAACTTTATAATAACAAGATTTTATCCTATGATAGATTATTACCGAATTGATAATGCCGAATAAAAGAGTTATTAGAAGTGAGAAGAGGCCAATATCATTCGATAGTTTTATAATCTATGGTTGTACTATATTTATTTTCTCGAATATTTATTTCGTGTAAGTTAATATACTCTATACGAAAATAAAATTGAGTTTTGTGAAAAGAGGAGTCATTTAAGTGAAACTTCGAAAATAAAATAAAAATTTATTCTATAGTTGTCAATCCTTATATTGAGTAACAATATTATCAGGTTATATTATAAATGATTAGTTTTATTCTCAATAGAAATTTCATTTAAATTCTAGTTTAGATTTTCGTTTATTTTAATAAAACGAAAAAAAAACTACTCTCATTGATCTATTAGAAGATTTGGAGGTTTTTAAATAGATCTATCCGAGAAAAGTTCTCTTTTATAATTTATTTTATATTATTAGTCGAACTGTTATCTAATCGGTAAGATCTCGATTGATCAATTAAATGAAAAAATCTCCCTATTAGAATTTATTTATTGAACGAATCTTGTTTAGAATAATTAAAATAAAAGATAAGAGAGAGAAATTTTTCGAAATAATTCTATATAAACAAGGTATCTGATAAATATAAAATAAGAATATAATAGATTTAATTGATAGATAAAAAAGAAAATGTTATCATCATTAGATAGATCGATTAAGAATTTCTTTCGAATCAATCAATATAATAATAGGTTAAAATAAAGTAAAATTCTTTTCGATTTATTTCTATATTGATTTTATCGAAAAAATATTTGTTTTATAAAAATGTTTTATATTTAAATAAATCGATATATCAATCAAATTTATAAATATATTCGATAGAATTTTATTTCATTGAACATTTCTTGCTCTTTTTTTTTTTAAATAAATTAAATAAAATATAAATATACGTCAATATATAATAGAGATATTATATTATATTCTCTTAACATATTTATTTATTTATTTTAAATCGAATTTATATTTCTAAGATACATATTAGAATGAAATTTTCATTGAAATAAATCTATATTAGATCTATATTGATTCGCTTTTTTCTTTTAAGGTAAATATAACGATTGATAAACATTTCGATTTTATCTCAATAAAATAATCTTAGATTTATTTCAAACGATATTATATTGAGAAAATAAATATTATATTAGAGAAAATAAATATTATATTAGAGAAAATAAATATTATATTAGAGAAAAAAAAACACTTATTCAATTCAGTTATTTCTATATTTAATTATTTTCATTGATATTTCGTTTTTCACAATTCTATTCAATAATAATAAAGATTTTTATCAAATTAATATTAATAAGACTAAACAAAGTCAGATTTGAACTCGAACAATGGGATATTATATATAATTACTTTCATTTTATCAAAAACTTCTCATATCTTTAAATAAATATCGAAATAGAATAAGATTTTTTTTTCTTTTTATTTTTATAAAATATTGAACATAGTTTAGATGATTATTTATATAAAGTTCAATTCTTTTTAACAGTCTTATTAAAACTTTTTTAAAATTCTTTTTCAAAAAAAATCTTTATCTACCGTAGATATCGGTATCAGATAATAATGTTTCATTTGTTTTTAAACTTTAGTCAACGTTTTTTAATGTCTTGTCACTTGCATTCTATTAGTACTATTCACCAATAATAGATTTATTTTATATTCTCTAATCATAACTGACCTCATTCTAGATGACTTATTGAGAATCATTTCTCAATTAGTATTCTTCATCGAGATTGATTTAAAGACAAACTTTATTTTAGATAACACTTGAAATAAAATTATCTTCAGTCTAGATAAAGACATTAGACTAGGTTAGAACTATTATATTGAATATAGTCTCAAGCCTTTTACAAATCTAATATCAAAATAAAAATAGATATTAACTCGAATATGTCGAAAACTGGTTGATCATCATCGTTGAGTTGATACTGATTCGATATAAATTGGTATTTTAGAGAAAAATACATGAATATTATCATAGAGTAGTGATATTCGAGGTAATCTTTTATCAAGAAGCTCTATCGAATGAAGTTTAATTAATTAAATAAATGAAATATAATCTATTCATGTGGTATACATGATAGATAAAGATTTTTTTCAAAACAACACTTTTTAAAAAAGTTTTAATAAGACTGTTAAAAAAGAATTGAACTTTATATAAATAATCATCTAAACTATGTTCGAGATTTATTTAAAGATCTGACTATTTTTGGTCTAGAGGTAACTAGTTTATTATAATTAATCAAGATTATTATAAGAGTTAGAACTAATTGGTAATTATATACAATAATTTATTTCAATATTGTTATTTAAATGATAGATCCATTTATATACATATATATATATATATTAAACTTATCGTTAATCAGTATATCTGTGAGATATTTAAAGTCGAAATTGAAAAATAAATATTTCTTGATCATTAATGAGTATAATGATGATTGAGTATAATGATGATTGAGTATAATGATGA